GTTAACTCCTTGAGCTTTTTCCACTGCAGCCATGATCATATGCATTCTAGTGATCATGAATATTTGCAAGTCAATTACTAATCACCGCCATTTCACAAAGTTAACATGAAAAGATTCGAAGACTAACCTCCCACACAATCATAGCATCTTGATTAGTCCCTTTCTTTCCCTGCTGACTGAAGAGTGAAGCCACCTCACTAGAACCATTCAAGAACATACGCCCGGGAATCCTATGCAGAAGCTCTTCCTTATGAAAGTCAAAGGAAGAATTCCGCGATCCTGACCTCTTCTTTGAGTTCTTCCTCTTCCTAATTGCAGATGCAGGAGAACCAGGATGAGGACTCCTGCTATCAGATGACAAGCAGGACCCCATCCCGAGGCCCCGGACTAAATTCTGTAAGCACTCCAGAACAACTAAATAATCAAACACCCTATTCCCCTATTCAAATCCGTATATCCTCCCTCAATCCACCAACTTCACAATCATCACACAATCAAAAAAGGGGGGAAATTCCAATAAACAGACGGCTAATGGAAATCCAATTCACTTCAACTACAAAAGCAGTCCGTATCTAATCTAATCCACCAAAAAGTTGTGAACTTTTCAGCAACCCTTGAACAATCATGCATACATAATTAGTTCCTGAAACAATCCTCTACATCACAACTTACAAGTATGAAAATAATATAACTGCAACTAACATATAGAACAGATCTATCAAAACTATTGTCCCCTTTCAATTTTTTTAGTAACAGTATCCCCAAAAGACACCTTTTTTATTCTGTCTCTCTCTCTCTCTCTTCCCACTATTAATCACCTTTCACTTACAAGAAAGGTTAACTCAGCTGATAAAGACACAATCTGATGATCTGACGTAGCTTTAAGGCCAAAAAAAAACACCCATCAGAGTTTGCACAATAAGAAGGTCAAATCAGTGACCGGCCACAAGTATTTGTCAAAAGTTTCAACAACCCACTTCAAATTCAGCTCAATTTAAACACCAGGACCAAAATCAGTTCCCATAAATTACAAAAATTCAACTCCAATCTACATCAAAAAAAACTTGATTTTTTGGTCAGATCAAACCTAATCAAGAGAAATATCAAAATTTTCAAAAACCCCACTTCCAATTAAGCTCAATTTAAACACAGGAACCAATCATCTCCCATAAACTACAAAACCCATAAAAAACTCAATTTAGATCAAACCACAATCAAAAACCCACATCCAATTCAGCTTCAAGAAACAAAAAACCCACCAACAATTCACCTCAAAACAACCAAAAAAAACTTTCTTTTCCTGATCAGATCAAACCCAAATCAGGAGAAAAAAAATACCATCTATGTAAAACTCTGTAGAAATGAGCTGAAGTAGAATTTCCAGTACAGTTTTGTACTGTGTAAATGGATAAAATTATTTGATATGGATAAGAGAAAAAAGGGGAAATTGAATGGATTAGTTCAATTTAGAGGAGGAGAACAAAAATAGGAATCGAATCGAATAACAGAGTGACACACAACAGAGAGAAAGAAAAAATACACCAAAAATGGCGCCGATAAGACTCTGTTTTTCGGTTACTGTGGATATATATATATATATATATATATATATATATATATATATATATATTATTATGTTCTTTTTTTGGATTTTGTGTGCGAGTGGCGTGTCACTTGTGAAACTTTTTAAGACTTACCGATAAGATTTGAATTCTGTGGTGCGAGTGGCGTGTCACTTGTGAAACTTTATAACACTTAGTTATAAGATTAAGGTATGTGGACACTTATAAAACGTTTTGAGATTCACCTATATTAAAAGGTTTTAGTTTTAAGCACTTAAAAATACGATAATTAAATTATTTTTATAAGATATTTCTAACTAAAATATTGATGAAATTTATGAATTTTTCGTAAATAAATTAACCATTTAAAATATAAATACCATCTTCATAATTATAGGCGTATCAAATTTTATATAATAACTATGAAATGAACATTTTAAAATACAAATAATATTTTTTCTTCAAATTAGGACGAAAACATTATTAAAATATTTTATTATATATTTGGATACTAACCCGGGATAAATTATAATTTCTCTATGTAAAATTTACAAATAAATATAAAACATTATTAATACATAGGTAGTTGAAACTTTAAGGATTATATTATACAAATTTAAAATAATAAATTCTTTTTATAGTTTTATCATGAGATAAGAACAAGTAATTTGAATGTTGTAGACTTTGGATTATGTGTAGCTGTAATTTAACATAAAGACAAATGATAAAACAATCATTAATTTATCAATATTGTTGTTAAATGTCATTTACTTTACTATTTAATAGATGTTAAATACACTAATCTTATGAAATTAAGCTTTTAAATATATATGTCTCAGAATGTTTTTTTTATAAATATTGTGCATGTACATTATATAAAATTAAACTTTCAAATATAAGTTAGGTTCAAATTGTTTATAAAATATTATACTAAGTATCGTAAATCTATAATCTTATGAAATTTAAACCTTTAAACATATACGAGTTTCATGACATTTTATAAATATCATAGATATAGTTAATAAACCTAGTTAATTTTATTTTTCTTCTTCATCCTAGCATAACTCTTAACTTAAGTGTTAACATTACTAATTAGAGGTGTTATTTTTCTATCTCTTAAAAAATAAATATTAGGGAGAAGCACAACTTATATTATTATAATATAATTGTTAATTTTGTGTGGAGATTATTGATCATGACAGCATATATTTTAAATTAGAATATTTCTTTTTTTTAAAAAAAAAAGTCAAACTTCTAATTAAAGTAAAAATGATTTTTGGAAGGCTTTTGCCCAGCCTTACAAATCGATTATTATGCAATAATTATTTGATTTTGTCTTTGATAAAGACATATTATGTTGTGTTGTATATTATTTATATAAAACATTTTGTTATATGAGAAAAAAAAGTAATATTTGGTGACAAACATCACTTAATTATATTTATTACTCAATCAATTTTATTGTAAAATAGATATAAATGAAACAACAAATATAATTATAAAATTTCAGAAGACTAAGTTTGAACACATTAAATTGATATAACACAAAATATCTATGATTTATTTGATATTATTATTAGAGATGGTGACATTTCATTAAAATAGAACCACTTATTTCCAAATTAATAGAGATGGTCAATATTTGGTAAGGAGTTTTCAGTTTTTAAAATAAAAAATAATAATAAGGGAAAGAAAAATAAATATAAACCATACACCAATCCAGCTAGGACGCAAAAAATGTTGTGGTGAAACATGTGAATAGAGTGCTTCGAAATTTTAATTATCAGTTTCGAATTTAATTTTTAAATATGATAATCACTTTTGTTTATAGTGTCATAGTCATATATAGCGATGAGTCAATCAAACATCACTCATTGACAATTATATTAATATATGAAAAAATAAATACAAAAATAGATTGAATATCGAATGCTAAAACTAAAAATTGTCATAAGTGTATATGATAGGATGTGAATTTTCCACTAACAGGATATTTTTCATTAAGTCATTAAAATCTCTTGAAGAGAAGTTTAGTTTATAAAATTAATGTGTTAGTCGATTAAGTGAATTTCGAATATAAATACTTTATATGGGGTGATTGGAATCAAATTTAGAGTCTTTTTAAAAAATTAATACTATGTGTTGTGGTTTATGTATTTTAATGTCAAAATTAAAGTATTATGTGCATATGTTTGTGAATATAAATTGACAAGAATGTGGTTATTATTATAGTGTAATAATTATTATTCACGTTGTTTTTATTCAATACAAAAAATTTCTTCATGGTGATAAGTGGTGATTCTTTCTTTGTGAAGTGTATTTCAAAAAAAGACGAGAGTTGTGAAAAAATACTATAGTAAAAGAGAAATTTGAGACTAAAAGGAATATTTGAAGTGTTCAACTAATTTACTATACAATGAGGGTAATTATATGTTGAATGAAGGTATTTTTTTTTGTGAAATTTTGAGCTCTTTAACTAATCATGAATTGTTTGAGTTGTACGACGTTGTTGTGTTATTATATCCTAGACAAGTCAAGAGTTATACTGTTTGGGTCGATAGATTATGTCGTAATGAGCTTAAATCTACTTTAAGAGAGCGAAATATATAAGCGTCTCAACCTAAATATGTTTTTTAGTCATTTTTGTTATTTTATTTTCTAACTTTAATTTATTATATTTATGATACATTACACCAACAATATGTTTTGTTTCATATATTTCCAACCACATGACTCATGTTACCTACTTGTTGATTATTTATTAGTAGTTGAATATATTTCTATAAATTGACTTCTCATAGCATATTTATTATCGAATTAGATTCAGATTAATTTAAGTGATCATCTCTAGGAACAACACATTCAACATAATTCTTTTCATTTTCAGTATTGAAACTCGATAACTTTAATTGAATGTCAAGGAAGAAGCGATCTCAATCATTTGTCACTTAGAGGTGTCAAATAACTCGGTTCAGTCAATTTTTTTAAAGAATAACTACATCTTTTGCAACAACCATATGTTCTATTCGATTTAAAAGACCTTTTTAAAAATCATTTAAGCATATTGGTGACATAAATGCTAACCTTCTTATCGCATTAAAATTTAATTAATTTGAGTTTGCAGGGCATGTTTAATATTATGTTAGAATCAGACTACTTTAAATTTGCGTTTTGCAAGACATATTTATGATCGAATCAGAGCTCGACCAATTCAAGTGTACATCTAGAATTTCTAAAGATGTTGTTCTCAACATGATATTTCTCATTTTTTCGTATTTAAACTCGACACCTCTAATTGAATATGGTAAAAGGAGATCTCAATCATTCTTTCTCTCGAGTGTGTCAAATAATTTAATTCGATTCGTTATTTTGTTAAAAAAAACAACTATACCTTAAAAAAAATCAAATATTAGAGTGCCACGTCATATTTTTATGTCTCTCTTATATAATTGATAGAGTATCTATTTTTCCCTCTTAAACCTCTAAAACCCTAACAATGGCGATGTTGCTGAGACTTATTAATCGCCGTGAACTTGCTTCTTCAGCCTATAAAAATGTAAGTTTATTTTTATTCATTTTCTTGATTTCATTCATAAAAATCCATTCTTGGAGTTGTTTCTTGATTTTTTCAGTGTTTGAGCAAAAGCTTATTTGGGGTATCAGATCAACTATGTTACTTTTCTTCTAGAGGTATGTAAAAATTTGTGACTTGGGGATTATGTATTACTGATATATTTTTCATATTAACTTATGTTATACTTGGTTTTGTAACTTCTTGCTGTTCATTAAAAATCCCTTCTTGGGGGTTGCTCGGATGGTAAGCATCGTTTACTGAAAATGCTAAGTTTTTGGGTTAGGAGGGAAAAGGTGTGAGCTTTCAGGGAGGGGTGAAAAATAAGAGGAAAGAAATGTTGAGAGTACAAGGAGAAATAGGTTAAATGTTAAGGTTGCTCGGATGGTAAGCATCCGTCGACGAAAGCTAAGTTGTAGGGTCGGAGCAAAAAAGCGTAGCTTTCCGGTAGGGATGATAAAAAGAGGAAAGAAATGTTGAGAGTACAAGGAGAAGTAGTTCAGATGTTCAGATTATGACAAGAGGGGTTGTTCGGATGGTAAGCATTTTTCACCTTTAATCGTAAGTTGTGGGTTTGGATTACTAGTGGAGCAAAAAGATGTGAGCTTTTAGAGAGGGATAATATTACACTTTGATTTGAACTGTAGTAGCTGACTTGAAAGCTTCTAGTTGGGCTTTAATGCTTCTATTCCCATTTCCAACGCTACCATTTGGTCATAGGTTTTGGAAGTTGAAACTTGAAAATTTGAGCTTTTGAAGTTGAAACTTAAAATTTTGAGTTTTTTAAGTTGTGATTTTTGGAATTTGAAGTTGTGTTAGGACATGCATTTTACTTGAATTTTTTATTGAAGTTCTTGAGAGTGGAAATTGGAAAAACCCAAAAACTTGTTTGAACCAGTTTTTGGGAACTTGAAAAATAATTGATGGTAAAAAGATCTGATCAAATTTCATGGTTAAACATATTAGTAAGTCTCTAAATCTGATCCAATATCTATGACCAAACACTAGCTCAGTGTCTGTCCACCAATATATGGAATTCAAATTCCATTGAGATGTATAATTTGCTGATATATTTTGAATATTTTCTGTCGTTGCCCTCTTCATAGAGTGACAAGGTTTCTCCATTTCTAAGACTTTATTCTAAATAGACATGAAATTTTTGTCTTTGGATGCTCATTGCTCCTTGTCATCTATTTGATTTCAGGTAAGAAAAAGTCAAATTCAGATGGCAGTGATTCAGGCGAAGAGAATTTGTCCAAGAAAGACTTGGCTTTGAAACATGCACTAGATCAGATCACGACATCATTTGGAAAGGGATCCATCATGTGGCTTGGTCGCACTGTGTCCCCCAAACAAGTCCCTGTAGTGTCTACTGGATCTTTTTCTTTGGATATTGCCCTTGGGATAGGGGGACTTCCAAAGGTAAAAGAATAGAACTATTAACATTTTTTTGGGGGGCATTTCAAATACGGTGAATAAAAATAGTGGTGATGATCGCTTGGCTCCCAGATGTTATGCAAATAATTTTCTGAGTAATGTTTACTTTGGAGAACTGGAAAAATTAGTATGTACACCCAACATTATTATTCAGGTTCTTTTGTCACTTTAGGGCTTAGGCAGCTAGGTGACTATTTTACTAGATATGCGAATCTATTTACAGAGACAAACAGATAGCTGCTTATCAATGTTAGGATGATAGTTTATATTCTTTTCTTCATTATAACTTATGTCTTGCTTTTGTGCAGGGACGCGTAATAGAGATATATGGTCCAGAGGCTTCAGGGAAAACAACACTTGCTTTGCATGTAATTGCTGAGGCACAGAAACAAGGAGGTTTGACTAGTTTGTACTTCAGTAACATGCATTGAGAGAGAAGAAACTATCATTCATTTTCTTTTCCATTTGCAACATCTATCAGGACCAGGATATAATGCCTTCCGAAACACAAAGGATACATACTTATTTAGCTTATTGCAACTGACACATGGAAATAACTTATGCTTTGTCTTGTTTCTTTGTAGGTTATTGTTGTTTTGTTGATGCTGAGCATGCTCTTAATCCAACATTGGCTGAGACCATTGGAGTAAATACTTCAAATTTACTTCTGTCTCAACCAGATTGTGGTGAGCAAGCTCTTAGTCTGGTAGATACAATAATAAGGAGTGGTTCGGTTGATGTTGTTGTTGTGGACAGTGTAAGGAAGATTGGAACTGTTGGTTCATGTTTCTTGGTTCTGTTGCTTTCAGAGTCAATGATGATAATACTCTCAGTTATCTAAACACCTTATGTGGACAACTGACTTCTATGGCAGGTTGCTGCCCTTGTCCCGAAAGGTGAGCTTGAAGGTGAAATGGGAGATGCTCATATGGCGATGCAAGCTAGACTGATGAGTCAAGCACTCCGCAAGCTCAGTCATTCTCTATCGTTATCACAGACCATTTTAATCTTCATAAATCAGGCAAGAGTCATAGGCTGCCTAGGTTCACATCATGCCTCTTGCCCTCATTTTTCCTTCTGTTGCTGTCTTGTCGAATCTCTTTCTTTTTCTTTTATGTTTCAAAGAAACGTTTCAATGTGATTAGACTGCATGTTTTGGATTAATTAGTTCCTAATGCATTTCCCATTCTGATCGAGACATCCAAAATATCTAGTCAGTGTAAAGGACTCGGCTGATTAATTGCACCCTGGTTCAGGTCAGGTCAAAACTTTCAACTTTTGGGGGATTTGGAGGACCAAGTGAAGTTACTTGTGGTGGTAATGCCTTGAAGTTCTATGCTTCTGTGCGTCTAAACATAAAACGAATTGGATTCGTCAAGAAGGGGGAAGAGGTACATATCTTTGTATGATAGTATAACTTAATCGTTGGTCACTCTTTTTGTTATGATTTCTATGTTGAGAGTTCCATGAATGCCCTTTGTTGAGTGAATATGAGGGAGTTGACTGTCCAGAATCTGATTTTTAAGACAGTCTTTTTGACGGAGTCTCTATTTTACAGACCATAGGAAGCCAAGTTCTTGTCAAGATTGTGAAGAACAAGCATGCTCCTCCCTTTAGAACTGCAGAATTCGAGCTTGAGTTTGGTAAAGGAATTTCTCGTGAAGCTGAACTTATTGACTTGGGAGTCAAACATAAGTTCATTACAAAAGGTGGTGGTGGTTATTACAATATCAACAATCAGAACTTTCGTGGTAGAGATGCTGTAAAACTTTTCCTATCGGAGAACACTAGTGCGAGGGAGGATCTTATGATGAAACTTCGAGAAAAGCTTATTGACCAAGGGGACAACGAAAAGGGACCTGATGTAGACCCTGTTGAGGAGGTTGTATTGAATGATACCACTGATGAAGAAACCCCAACTGCAGTCGAGGCATGAATCCTTTGATAAAAAGCTTATCTGACTTGCCTAATGGAACTGCTGGATTTCCTGTCCATATCAGTATGTAACCAGCATCCTCGGATTATCATCATTTGTAAGAAAACCTGCTCTTGCACCGTTGCACGTGTCCTACCCGTGGCTCTGTAAGTTGTCTCAACGTCAATTTTGATCGCGTGGTCTGTGGAATTATTGGATTAGATGAAGGTAAGGCCAATGCTGTGACTTTGGTTCAATTTTTTTCTGGTAACCTGCTAAATTCTCTTGTATATAACAATTGTAACTTCAGAGAGAATGTGTATCCAATCATTGATTTCAGAGAAAGCTTCGTTTTTGTCTGATTTATTTAAGAAACAACCTTTGCATATCCACAAGATACGGGTAAAGTCTGCGTACACTCAAATAGAATTTCCTTGATGCATTTTCTCGCCCTCAGTCGTCCTGCTGGGTGTTCGATAAATTATAACGAAGGTGGGAAAAATTTCAATTTTTAAATATTTAGTGTGGAACTGAATAATTAACTGTAAATTGTGTTCTGTAGGGATAACATAGACCCACAAAATTTGAGATTCATCATCAAACAAATAAGCAGATCGACTCAAGTTCATCCTCTTCTTAAAAGTGCCTTAAAAGAGGTCAATCATTTTCTCAAAACTTAGTATTAAAAAAAATACGACTGATGCACGCGAATATAAAGATCCTCAAAGGGAAGCAAACCCATACAGATTGTGTTTATAAAACGTGAAGGAGCATCATAACAAACTGTCAAATTGTGAGAATATTCATAAAGTCTTTCTTATTCTTTTCAATCCTCAGAAGGGGAATACAAATACTACTCTCCAGGAAAAACACTTCTCAGAAATGGTCAGCTACACGGAGACGATAGACACTTCATGAGAAATTCATTCTTCTTCCTCCGCCTCCTCCAGCCATTTCACAAAGGGCTCCAGCGACTTCACAAAGTTTTGCCTGCCATATTGTTAAAGACAGTAAACCCCATTAGGAAAAATAGGGTGAACAGTGTACTTAACATCCACAAGACTCGAAATATCTAACATCCGAGCAAGTCGAAACAAATGCTTACCTGCCCTTGAGGTTTGTTCCTTTCTGGAACCAGTGAAGAATGGTATCTTCTGCCAGAACATCTTGGTCATACAGAGACCTCACAATCTCAGGGAACAGCTTCATCAGTTTAGCATCCTCGTAGCACTGGACTTGGACTTTGTACATGAGTTCCAATTCAAGCTTTCCAGTGGTGCAGAAAGTATTCAGCAGTTCTGCCCATTTTTTCACCTACACAAAAAGGAAAAAGAAGAAGAGAACCAATGATTATGTACAACTAACAAAAAATTTGACAACTGAGAGACATCTTAACAGTTTTAACCGATAGACAACAGAAGCATCCAAAAATGATGTAATTACTAATTAGACAGCACCAGATGAAACATTAGATAAGCCAGACAATTCTGTTCCAAGACTTGAAATATAGGCAACTTCCATTACTTGGATAGCGATTGTGAAGCAAAGAATAAACAATTTGATGTAGCCAAGTTTCTAGATGATCAAACACCCTCCTACCCAACAACTCTACAAAAGAACCCATAAAGAATAATTGATCAGCCCTACCACCATGTGATGTCTATGACAAAATGAATCAACTATGTGTCAATGACAACAAAATTGGGTTCAGTGTATATGATCAAGCTTTATATCATGAACAGTTGAGACTAAGTAGAGGAAAACTAAAAACAAAAAGATTTAAGTTGCTTTCCAAGACACATGAGGGAGTGTCTGGACGTTACATGGTTGAAATTTGAAGACAAATAGCATTTTGAAGTTATGTTCTAAACGAACATATTTGGAGGTTGACTGTTGTGTTTGGACATGAAAATACAATTGAAGATTTGTGAGATAAAAACTTCAACAAAAACTTGAAAGCTTCTAAAGACTTTTTCAAACTTCAGCTTCCATATTTCAAGCTTTGAAGTTGAAATGATGGGCCAATTAGACACACTTCTTTGAAATAATCTCCAAATTTTATTTCAAAATTTTGAAACAAAATCTATAGACAAACAGGAAATATGTTATTCATGCAATAAAGTACTAAATCTGTATTTTACTACAAACACACAAATTGCTAAACAGAAACGCGTATAAACATGCTAGATGTTACATGCCAGAATGATAGGTATCCAAATAACAGAAGAAAAAAACCATTTACTTGGAAAAACTAGTAAATCCAGCAAGCCATGAAATTGAACATGTGAACAAAAATAAGCTAAAACCAAGACACTGTTGCTGCAAGGTGTCATACTGTCATGTTACTATTGCCCATTCAAAATCAATATTTCCAGTTCACTTGTGAAGCTGACAGCAAGACTAAATTGCCAAAAGTCAATGCCTAAACATATTTCTATATGTAGAATATAAGTAATTAATCAGGTAGAGGATATAAGCTATTTCTGATCTTAAAGTCGCCTCTCGTGTTATGCCCACTGACACTTCTAATGAATCTTTCCAGTACACATGATATGAACAATTAATTAGACACCAAATTCCACAAAGAGAAAAATAATCTCACCTTAATGTATAAAAGTTGGAGTAACACCTTACAAATATTATCTTATCTGCACAAGCATATGGAATAAAGCAAAAATAGATAAAACAGAAGGGCAAGAGAAACACGTGAACAACCTTTTTGCAATACAAAAAATGTTTTTTTCCACAAGTACATTCTTGAAGCAAGTTTTATCTCATTGTTTTGAAATCCACTAGCACACGAACTGTGGTCAGCTTACATTGACATACAACAAAAGTTCGTAACTAAAACAGGGAAAAATGGATAAAGTCGCTAAATTCTTCAAGCAGCATTCAGTCATAGAAAGATATGCACGCATTTTGAGTATTGTTATTTAGGAAGTAGCCAAAAGAAATTCCTCATTCGTGGAACTACAATCAGAATATTTTATCAGGTTACAATTAGTTGGTTCCACTCGCAAGTTTTTTAAAAAATTCTGAAGTAGATAACAATTTGCAGTTTCAGAAAATAGAACTACTCACAAAGCTTTGTAGCTGACTTAAGTATTTATTACCTGGCGAAGAGCAGAATTAGCATTTTGCTGTTGGTTCTTTCCTGACCATTGTATGGCATCCATCAAGACATCCCACAAAATCCGTACAACCTCTATATCTGGTAATTTGGCATCTTTGACATGTTGCTTCACAGTTTCTATGACTTCAGAGATAGCAACTTCTTCTGCTAGCTGAGTTGTTAATGTAGATTTCATTTCCTTGAGCCTCACCTCAAATATCTTCTTATCATTATATTCCACCAAAGGTAAAAGGCCAGCTTTGCTGAAATAAGCAAGTCCATACACCATTAGACAAAACTCAAAAGCTACAGTAAGATGGCTTGAATAAAGTGAACATTTTTTCTACCTTCAATGCCTACTTACCAAACAACCAAAAAAAAAGTCAAGAGCAAATGATTGTACGATATATTACTTGTTCAATTTGCATACGAAAGAGACCTAACCGTAGGCCCTATTAGCCTAAGACAGCAGAAAAATAGCTTGCAGTAAAACTTGAAACTCTATACAAATAAAAAAATATCAATCATGAGATCCCCCATTTTGCCTTGTTCCCCATTTTAGGGAAAAGAAATTAACCTAAAGCAATTTCTTGAACTTTCTTATCATGATTATATCTTGAATGATGAAGCTCTAAATAACAAATGACATAATTATTTACACAAATCATCAACAGGGATTTATTGAGTAGGAGACAGACAGTTGCAAACGCCACATTCAGTACCCTTTTTGATCTAAGGTGGTGGAGGGTGTGAATGAAAGAGTTCAGCCACTTCAGTATCTTCCACCACACATCCCTACACAGCTCTATTATTCATGTATGTTCTAAATTAGAAATCTACTCACGTGAAATGCTCAGAGACAGCTTCAGGCGTCCTCTTAGTAGAGGGGAAGAACTCGAGAAGATCATCCTCCATCTTACCCCGCTTAAGGATTGAGATCAAATCATCAATACTGTTGTCAATCAGATATTCCTTAAAAAAGTCTGTGATGAAAGAGAGAACTAGCCCTTTGGCGACAAGGTTATCTTTGAGTAATGGCTGGAGAACAGTCTCTGGGGGAAGGCCTGACAGCTTCTGGGAAAAAGCAAGGGCTGTAAAGATTGAGAGCTTAATCCTTTCATTTTCCTCAAAGAGCTCCAATGACTGCAACATTTTTCGCATGACATTTTCAAGGTTCTTTATAAGAAACGGCCTCCTTCTTAATATCTTCTGCACATAGATGACAGATGGCAAAATGGCTTCACGTTTAGGTTCACACTCAATCACAGAGTAAGGGTGGCGCTCCCCTTCATCAAGTTTGACTGTTCCAGGTTGTGTACGGCCTCCAATGAAGACAACCTATCACAACACCACATGTTAAGATAAAATGCCAAAGAGAAGCATCAATGACACAACAAATAGAGTAGTATTGACATTGAAACATCCATGCAACAATAAACATTTTAAACAACATATCTTCTTGACAAGCACATGTAAGATGCTTAGCAGCAAATTGGAACAGCTCAATTCATTATATGATCTACTTAGGTCAAAACAAGGAGAGGTATCAGCATAAAACAACCCATAACACAACATGCACCGCCATACTCTATACTAGTATAAAGATTTTAAAGGGAAGTGGTCTTTAACACGAGAAAATAATACCTCAAGAAATAAACAAAGAGAAAAAGGTCAGACTCCATAGGACCAACAAAAAGATGCTTTTCACCACCTACAATTCAATCCTATGTATATGCACCTTGAGGGCAATAGTGATAAAATTCCTGTATGTGACACAATCTTCTAAGTTTATTATATACTATTTACCTCGAAAAAGGTATCACCGTATCTTGAGAAGTTGAGGTCTGAAGACTCAAGGTTCTTAGCAACAAGTTCCTGTGCATTATAAAAAATTTAGTTAAGCTTTTGTCCCAAGTATTACCAGCATCAAGCAATTAATTGAGATTGATCACCAAATCATAATGGCATTAACATAATAGGACGGACAAAGAAAGAAGAATAAAGCTGGCATCAAAATTAAATATCCAAATTACCAAATCACCAGCATTATCCAGGTAAATCTGGACCACTGCATCCGCAAATGCTGCAGGGTCCAGAGGTGCTGCAATATTCCGTTTGCGGGTCTTAATCCGCGTGCCACTGTAATCATAGGACAAAATCAACAAAAATTACAGGCATGCAATGAATAGCGAACAGCAATAATAACAGTAAGATCTAGGTGCTCGTGAAAAGGAAAAAGAAGCCTTACCCGA